ATTGGTCCTGGTTTTGCCCTTTGGGACCAAATCTAATGTCTTTTCTACACAACAACTTTTAAAATATTTGTATACAATTATCACATCTCCCATAAGTCTCCTAGCTCCTTCAACAAATTCTTCCATTGCATGGTTTTAAAACCCTCACCAGCCTGGTCACTGTCCTCTGGATTTATCAATGACCTCCCTCAAATGTGGCACCCAGCACCCAATGCTGCAGGCATGGTCCAAGCAAAACAGAAAGTGGATTATTCCCTACCTCATTGTTGACAGCTGCTATCAAAGAACCCCAAGATTGCACCTTTTTTGTTGTTGTTTTGGCTGAAAACCAAAATTCCTAGACTATTTTCATATGAACTGTTGTCTATACCACACCATATTTGTTCAATTCAATTTTTGAACCCAGGTATAGTTTATATTTATGCTTTGGAACTCTATCTAATTAGATCAGGCCCCCGTAGCCTAGCAAGATTTTTTCTGGATCACAGTCAATTTTAGAGTCCAACATATTACCTATTCCATACAGTTACATCATCCACAAATTTGATAAACATTTGACCCATCCTTTCATCAAAGTTATCAATGAAAATACTGAACAGGGGGCAGCTAGGTGGTACAGTGGATAGAGCTTTGGCCTTGGAGTTAGGAGGACCTGAGTTCAAATCTGGCCTCAGACACTTAACACTTACTAGCTCTGTGACTCTGGGCAAGTCACTTAACCTTGATTGCCTCTCCAAAAAGAAAAAAAAAATGAAAATACTGAACAGAAGAGCACTAATGATAGGTCCTGGAACACTTCCATCCAGATTGACATTCATCTATCACTAACCTTTGGATCAAATCATTTAGTCGTTCCAGACTATTATCTACCTCATATCACTTTATCTTATTCACAAGGATGTCCTGAGAGATGGCAAATCCTTTGCTGAAATCAAGGAACACTGTCATTCCCTTGACTTTTCAGTCTAGTACACCTATCAAAGAAGTGAATAAAGTTAGTCTGGCATGATCTGGTCATGCTGAAACCAGACAGGCTCTTAGTAATCAATATTAACGGTCAATATCTTTTAAATACTCACATCTTTTTAATAATACTACTGCAAAAAAGACCAACTGCCACCCTCAGAGCAGATTTGCCCCTCTTCCTTTGAGTCACAGGTCCAAATGATAGAAGTAGGTACTGGGAACCTATCAGCTGGACCATTCTCTCTCCTGTCTGGAGAGCTTTTAAGGAGTAGCTTAGAGTAATGTGCATAACCTAGTCAAGCTTCTCTGGAGGAAGGTGGGAAGCCAAAAAGACTCAGTGAAAGGTACTAATAGGAGGCACACCCTTCAAGTGCTAGGGGAGGGAAGAGGTAAAAAAAAATACTGATTGCTCATGAGCAATGAATAGAAGTGTAATATATAAATAAGATATAAAATAAAATCTTGTTGATGCAGTCCAAGAAGGAATTTCCTTAAGTCACCTGATTTGAAATGGTGGAGACCTGCAAGGTCTGTGTCCGCATTAATTGAGAAGGCATCAGATTAAATTCTCTGTGGAGCAGCTTGTAAGATCTAATTCCAGGGAGATGGGGCAATGTGTCCCCATCTACCAGAGGAAAGCTATGCAGCTACAGTGATAGGGGTGAAGATGAAGGGACCCAGAACACCTGGCTGAAATCTGAAGTGGAATGGATTACCAATAGTGAAAAACTATCAGATAAGGGCAGCTGGCAAAAGAACAAAATGGTACAGTGAAAAAGTACAATAAAGATATAGAAGAATGGATTTCTTTTTTTAAAAATTTTTAGTAATATTTTCCCCCAATTACTGTTAAAATGATTTTTAACACTTTTTTAAAATTTTGAGTTCCAAATTCTATGCCTCCCTCCCCTCCTCACTCCCTGAGATGGCAAGCAATCCAATATAATTTATACATGCGCAATCATGTAAAACATTTCCATATTAGTCATTTTGTACAAGAAGATGAAGGAAGGAAGGAAGGAAGGAAGGAAGGAAGGAAGGAAAAAGAAAGAGAAAACAGCATGCTTCAATCTGTATTCAAAACGGTATTGGTTCTTTCTCTGGAGGTGTATAGTGTGCTTCATCATAAGTCCTTTGGGATTGATTTGGATCATTGTATTACTGCGAATAGCTAAGTTATTCACAGTTCTTCATCATACAATATTGCTATTACTGTGTACAACATTCTCCTGGTTCTGCTCACTTCATTTTGCATCAGTTCATGTAAGTCTTACCAGGTTTTTCTGAAGTCATCCTACTTGTCATTTCTTATGACAAAATTCCATCACAATCATTTACTACAGCTTGTTAGAATGAATTCTTCTTGCTGGGGCTTGAGCCAGGCCAGTATTAAAAGTCATGAAGATTGAGTAGGCTTCTGGGGGAGGTAGACTCATGGCAGCAGGGGGTGGGGTATAGATTCATGGGCTCAGACACAGGTACCTTTGGGGTCTTTTATTTTGTAAATAAAATTGTTCTGTTTTGAAGTATTATGAAGTATAGCTTGTTATAGCTAGCATTTATGTAGCACTTAAGATTTGTAAAACACATTATATTATCTAATTTTATCCTGTGAGGTAGGGAGCAGCTAGGTGGTCACAGATAGAGTGCCAGGAGTCAGGAATACTCATCTTCCTGAGTTCAAAGCTGGCCTCGCTTAATAACTGTGTGACCCTGGACAAGTCACTTAACCCTGTTTGCTTCAATTTCTTCATCTGCAAAATGAGCTAGAGAAGGAAATGGCAAACCACTCCAGTCAAGAAAACCCCAAATGGGGTCACAAAGAGTTGGACATGACTGAAAAGACTAAGTGACAAAAATGTGTTGTTATTATCATCACCATTTATAGATGAAGAAATTGAGCTCTCTCAGTTAAAAGATGGTTAAGTGCCTCTTAAGACTTGCCCAGGGTCACACAATTAGCAAGTGTCTGAAGTCAAATTTGAACTCAGGTCTTCCTGACTACAAATCCAGTGCACTAAACTAAAACATCTAGCTGCCTAAACTACTAAGGAAAACTGATGGCTACATTTAGAAATATATCAGATACTGAAATTCCCCGATTCCACCTGGGTAAGGGATGGTTGTTATCCTTCAAGCTCAAAGAGGACCAAAATAACCTCACAATGTTGAGGTCAATGTACACTGTGTCCGACTGTGACTGATCAGACCAATATGAGCTCAGAAGGCTCTACCATAGGTCAGGCATAAAAGTCTATATGAACTTTGGAGTAGAGGTTATCTCTAAATTTGAACATCTCATGTGTTTTCTGAGCTCCCCAACTTTGCTTTGCTCATAGAGCATAGTGCCTTCTTTGATTCAGGCATGCCATGATGGGTGGTCCTTTGCCAGTGTCTCCCATGTCTTACAATTGATTCCAAAGTTCCTCAGTGAGATCTTGAGAGTGTCCTTGTATTGCTTCTTCTGACTTCCATGTAAGTGCTTGCCTTGTGTGACTTCTCTGTAAAATAGTCTTTTAGGCAAACATACATTTGGCATTTGAACGACTTGGCCAGCCCATTGGAGTTGCACTTTCTGCAGTAGAGTCTGAATGCTTGGCAGTTCAGCCCAAGAAAGGACCTCAGTGTCCAGTACCTTATCTTGCCAGGTGATCTTCAGAATCTTCCTAAAACAATTCAAATGGAAGCGATTTGGTTTCCTGGCATGGTGTAAGTATGCTGTCCAGGTTTCACAGGCATACAGCAATGTGGTCAGCACAATGGCTCTGTAGACCTCCAGTTTCGTAGGCAGCCTACTACCTCTTCTCTCTCACACTTTCTTTTGTAACCTCCCACACACAGAGCTAGCTCCAGCAATGTGTGTGTCAATTTCATCATCTATGTGTACATTCCTGGAAAGAATACTGTCAGGGTAAATTAACTTATCCGCAGCATTCAAAATTTCTCCATTTGCTGAACCTGATGGTTCCACTTATGGGTGGTATGGTGTGGTGCTAGCTGGTGGAGAACCTCTGTTTTCTTGGTATTAATTATTAGATCAAAATTAACACAAGTAGCAGAGAATTAACCCATACTCATCATCTCAGCCTCAGAGGTGACATTGAGTGCATAATCATCTGCAAACAAAAAGTCATGTGCCAACTCTCCCTCCACTTTAGTCTTGGCTTGTAGCCTTTTCGAGTTAAATAATTTACCATCAGTGTGGTAGTTGACTTTGATTTGATTGCCCTTTTTGTCCTTGTTGAAGGCATCTGACAACATCACAGAAAACATCATGCTAAAAAAGCATGGGAGCAAGCATATGGCCCTGCTTCACTTTATTGGTTACTGGGAAAGTGCAAGAGCATCCAGAACTCTTGTAAGCATGCCATCATGAAACTGATGTACCATACTAATGAACTTCTCTGGGCAACCAGATTTTGCCATGATCTTCCACAAGCCTTAACAACTAACAGTAGGGGCAGCTAGGTGGTGCAGTGGACAGAGCACCAGCCCTGGATTCAGGAGGACCTGAGTTCAAATCTGGCCTCAGACACATAACACTTGCTAGCTGTGTGACCCTGGGCAAGTTACTTAAACCCATTGTCTAGCAAAACAACAACAACAAACAGTATTGGGTACAGTATATAGAACACCAGCCCTGGATTCAAGAGGACCTGAGTTCAAATCCAGCCTCAGACACTTGACATTTACTAGCTATGTAACCCTGGGCAAGTCACTTAACCCCATTGCCTAGCAAAAAAAAAAAAAATCCTAACAGTATCAAAGGGTGTTTGACAGATTGGTCAGATTGATAAATGTTGTGTATAGACCTTTTTTTCTGCTCCCAGCATTCCTCCTGGAATTATTGGGTAACAGATACCATTCAACCACTCCTTGGCCCTTTCTGAAGCCACACTGGCTCTCATGTAAAAGATCATCTTCCAAGTGAAAGATCAGCCTCTTAAGGAGAACTTTGAATTTTGCTAGCAATGACTAAGAGGGAGATCCCCCTGGGATTGTCACAGGACAATATGTTTCCTTTTCCTTTATAGATATGGACAATGGAGGCATCCTTGAACTCCTGGGAGATAACCTCCTCTTGCCATATAACCCAGATTTCAATCAGCTTTTATATGATCAACAGAAGCTCTGCCTTGTAAAACTCAATTGGAATAGAATCAGCACCAGGCAGCATGCCACATAAGAGGAGCCTAATAGCATTCAAAACCTCTTCTTCAGCTGGAAGTCTGGCTAGAAATTGACTTCAGCCTGAAGTATATGGTCAATGGTTAATGATGGTCTTTTGAGAGCACTATGGAAGCATTGAGTCCAGCTGTCTAGGATCACATCCTTATCAGTAATCAATGTGGCTTCATCAGCACTGAGTAGTTGAGATGCACCATAGGTCTTTGGCCCATAAATAGCCTTTATGACATCATAAAAACATTTTGGATTGTTACTATCAGCATAAAACTGAATTTTATCTGCCTTCTTACTGAGCCAAGAATCCTGTCTCTCTAAGCTTCACTTGTACTTCACTTTTGATGGAGGTAAATGTTGCCTTCTTAGAGATGGATGAATTATCCTGCTGGTAAACCTGTGGAGTTCTCGTTTTTCACTAAGCATCTTCTGAATTTCCCCATCATTTTCATCAAACCAAACTTGATGTGTGCAAGAAAATGAGTCAACACGGTGATGTACAGCAAACCTCTGAAAGCTGCTTGCTCCTTTTCTGCTCTACTATTGCCAACCATGTGTTCACTTAGCTTTCCTTCCAAGTTAACAACAAACTATGCATGCAGGGAGAAGTGCTCTAATCTGTTGACATTAAGTCTTTCGGTAGTCATCTTGCTTTGGGGCACCATTTTTGTTAAAGGTGAATGTTTAGCTTGGACAGAACAAGTCTATGATCAGTGCAACACTCTGCTCCACACATCGCCTTTGTCACTATCACATCCTGTCTCTTCTACTTACAATGACACAGTCTATTAAATGCCAGTGTTTGCTGCTAGGGTGCATCCATGAAGTTTTATTGCATTTAGGTAAATGGAAGACAGTGTTGGTGATGAGGAGGTCATGAGACACAAGTCTTCAGTAGTAAGTGACAATTGCTGTTGCAGTTTCCAATGCCATTCCTCTCCCAAAGACTCCTTGCCACATCTGATAGTCTGTGCCCACTCTGGCATTAAGAATTACAAGCTTGTCCACTTTCAACACATTAAAGATGAGGGTCTCCAAATCTTCATAAAATTTTTCTTTGCATGTGCACTTATGACAGTGGCATGGCACTTTCCTGCAAGCAGCAATCATTGTCATGAGCCAATCATTTACTTCTTTTGGGAGGCATACAAGCTTGTTGACTAGATTAGTTTTGATTGTGAAACTTATGCTAGCTTCACAGTGCTCCCTCCAGAAAAGCATGCATCCAGCTCCAACTCTGGTAAGCTGGCCTTCATTTACCATCCTTGTTTCACTCAGGACTGCTATTTGACTGTGATACCTGCTGAGTTCTCTTGCAACAAGAGCTGTTCATCTTTCAGGTCTACTGGATTTCTTGTTGTCCATAAGTGTGCACACATTCCATGTACCAATGGTGAGTGGAATCATCTTTGCAAAAGTTTTTGTACATTTTTTGTGTTTTGACTACAGGGTAGGATCTCTACTTGCCATGGTAAACAGGCCAGGGTTAGGTTAAGTAAAGCAGACAGTTTTTAGGGCACCTTTTCTAGCCCCTTCCTCATGCCTGGAGGTGAGCAGTACAATCCTTAAAAAAAGGCTGCTCAGACACCCAGAGGACTGCCAAATCCTACTGCTACTTCAGTCCAGTGAGAAGATGACCCTATGGCCTGGGCCGCCTATGTGCAGGGTTGTAACTACAGCTCCCATGTATCTGCACCTGATGCTTCTTCACTTGTCCATCACCACAGGACTTTGAGGTATGTAAAAATGGTAAAATGATATGGGTAATACTTTTTGACTCATGCATAAATTGGATTTTTGAGACAGTTGCATGATGTCATGGGCACATAATAACTAGCCAGATAAGAGAGAGCTATGTAAAGTGTACCTGGGTCCTAGTATTAACTATATAACAACATTAGTTTGAGGAATTCATCCATTCATTCATTAACAGTTTATTAAGTTACTTGGGGCAGCTAGGTGGCTGTAGTAGATAGAATCCACAGCCCGGAGTCAGGAAGATTCTTCTCTCTGAAATAAAATCCAGTTGCAAACATTTACTTAGCTGTGTGACCCTGGGCAAGTCACTTCACCTTGTTTGCCTCAGTTTCATCATCTGTAAAATGAGTTAGAGAAGGAAATGGCAAACCACTCCAGCCAAGAAAACCTCAAATGGGATCACAAAGAGTCGGACCTGACTGAAACAAATGAGCACAACAACAAAAGTACCTACTGTGTGCCAAACAATTGTGCTAGGCACTAGAAATAGAAGGATAAAAAATAAAACAACCTGAACTCAAGAAGCTTGCATTTTATTTATCTATTTTGGTTTCAGAAACATCTTCCTCAAAAAAAAAAAAACACTAGCTGTGTGACTCTGGGCAAGTCACTTAACCCCAATTGTCTCACCAAAAAAACAAAAAAGAAAAAGAAAAAAGAAGAACAAAACAGAAACATCTTCCATTTGTGACAGCCTACTGTTGAAGAATCATCAGAGATGATTCTGAGATTGTAAAAATATTAAGTTGTGTCAAACTTCTAGGCAAAATTATAGAGCTAAAAAAATCTAACTTCTGCGTTATATACAATCCTTTCACCATATATTCTACCCTGAGATATCCAGTCTCCTTATGCTCAATCTCTATGTCCCACAAATTTATTCTTCCCATTGGCCTGGTGTCCCTAAGAAGTCCTCCAAACTAAACATCTCCTACTCTGCATCACCTTCATCCAATCAAAAGTTATCTGACCTATGTTCCATTCTCATGTAGTCCAATTCTCTCTTTTCCAAGGTAAAAACTACCACAGGTAATAGACTAATTTCTGGTGTTGAATTAGTATGGAATTAGGCTAACCCTCTCTTCTTTCCCAGGTAATCTATATTTTAATATTGGCTTTTTATCTAACCCAACGAGAGTGACTATAATATCCAAAATTTCAAAGCAATAGTAGAGAAACTTAGCAATTGAGTGAAGGCAAGGACTTCTGACAATCTCCTAATCTTCATAGTTAACCTATATGTGGGGTTGCTCACAGTCCACGAGTTGTAGAAATTAGATGTGGATTTGACAAGTTAACTAGTTTCTCCAGAATAGATAGTCTTTGGTTGTTTTGTTATATGATGCTGTATGGCAATGGCATCATGCTTTTCCTAGGCCCTATATTGTTTCATCTTCATTCAGGTCAGCTTATATTTTGTGTCTAGAAACAAATGGATGAATAAAGAAGAATTTGATTATTAAAACTTACTATAGGGATGCTATAGGGATACAAAAATAATTTATTTACTTACTATGTGCTAGTTCAAATTTGTTTCTTCCCTCTGAGATTATTTTCAATTTATCTTATATGTCTTTTTTGGGACACAGTTATTTACATGGTGTTTCCACCATTAGATTGTGAGCTCCTTGAGGTCAGGAACTGTTTTTACCTTTCTTTGAATCCCCAGGACTTAGCCTGACACTTAATAGGAGCTTAATAAATGTTTGTTGTCATAATTTGACTTGCTAGGTACCATGCTAAATGCTGGGGATATAAATACCAACAAGCAAGCAGCTTATATTGTACTAGGGGAAGAAAACACATATAGGGGAATCGTGGTTAAGGAAGAATATTTTGGAAGGAAAGGCAGAGACAGTGATTGGCACCATGAGGCAACTCAATGTCCTAGAATGCTAGTGTTGATTTGATGATTGTTCACAGAGCTGAAGTTGGAAAAGAATGTGAAGGAGGAAAGAAGAGGGTACACACGCAGCAACATGTTGTGAATATGGCCAGGAAGTGGCAAGGTAAGTTTGGGCTTAGGCTAGATGCAATCTAGCTTCCCAATCAGAAGTCCAGGAACTGAGGACAGGAACTTGACTTAATGACGCAGTCACCTTCATGGACAGACATCAGGGATATGACAAAAACGTAATTTCAATGTTTGCCAATGCCAGAGAGGCCAAGTTATCTAGTAATGTAGCATTGTTCTGTACGTTATTTTCCAGACTCTAACATACTTACAGGCTGGGTCCTCAGAGAGCAGTTGCTAATTTTACTCTCAAAGTTCTACAGCAGGGAGTCAAATAGAAGTTCATAGGACATATTGCTGCCTCAACACTCCAGAGTGGCCAAAACCAGATTAAAATGTAACTGGGAAATATTTAACAACAACAAAAAGAAGAATACACTCAAACATAAGTAATGTTCATTTCATGGTTTTCTAAGTCAACATGCAACCCCAAGGATCCTTGTATAAGGTTTAATGGCCTCAGTTTCTATTCAAGTTTGACACTATTTTAGAGGACCCTGAGGGGGTTATCTAATGTCTTTCCCTCTAGTGTGCCTCCCTCAATGATTATCAGTTTGAATAAATTAATCAGCAATCCTTAATTTGCTTTTAGAAAGGCATATTTACTAAGATGGCATAATATGAACAGTTGATACAAAAATCTCCTCCCCAAAAGTCTGTGACATATTCCCCCTATGGGAAAGTGGGCTCAGATTTTCAATACATGAGGCAAAGTGTGTAACTCACAGCTCTTGGAAATCTCTCTCTTTTTTCCTTTCATGGAGTCCTTACAAAGTCCCTGTTAGGCATGGTCTAGCCTTCTGCTGAGCTCCTTGTAGAGGCCTGAAGCTGCCTTTCCTCCTTGCAAAGGTAGTGTGAGATTCAAATGAAATAAAGGATATAAAGCACTATATAAATGGCAGTTATTAATATTATTATCATTATTATTAGCAACAGTCTATAGCCATAAGACGTCCAGTCTGGTGATGACTTCATTCTCTGAGCTTTCCACTATACTCCTGCTCAGCCCAAAAAATATTTATAGAGCAATCCAGGAGTGTGCTGGTAAAGGCGGAACAACCAGGAAAGGGGCTGGGGAGGGTAGGGTGGGGTGTATACATATACACTTTTAATTTTAATCTGCATTATTAACACTTTCTTAAGCCTAGATAATCAACAAAACAATAAATCAAATCCTGATTTGTGGCAATGATTTCTGAATTGTAAATAAAAATTAGTAATAGGCTCCTCAACTGGTTAGAGCTTACTCCAGAATACCCCTGCCTCAGTGTGTCTAGTTCAGGGTTGGGGAACCTGTGGCCTTGAGGCTGCATGTGGCCCTCTAGGTCTTCAAGTACAGCCCTTTGACTGAATCCAAACTTCACAGAACAAATCAAGTTTGGATCCGGTCAAAGAGCCTCACTTGAGGACCTAGAGTGTCACATGTGGCCTCAAGGCT